TCGTACCGCCCCAAAATGGTGGCCTTTTTCACCCCTGCTGAGAGGGGGCCAAAAAACGTACTAAAAAAACCACCTATGTATTCAGTTGGTCTCTGCCTTTGTGGCCAAGCCCATCCTCAGACATGTGGGCCCTGTGCGCTGCGTTCGCTCCCATGGGCAGGGGGGGGGTGGGGTGGTAGGAGCAGTGGCGCTCACCAGCAGCAGCTCCCTCAGTCTCAGTCGTATGAGTGTTTCTTCCCAGGCAGTGAGGAAATAAAACCCCAGCCGCAGCAGCGCAGCAGCATCAGGTGGCCCTGGAGCAGGACTCAAACAACAGGTTTGGGGCTACTTGGACAGCACCTCCCAACCCGGGTAGACAACCCCCTTGATTTCGGGCAACAAAACTTGACTTTGGCCCCAATGTGAATTTGCCCTTAAAAAGGCTTTCATCCCCGCCAGTAGGGGCAATCGGGGGGCGTGTTTAGTGGGGGCAGGAGGTTTTGAATCCGCGGGGAACGACTCCTCATGCTGCTCGCCAAGTCCAGAGTCTCTCATGGGTCCCTGTAACGGCCTCCCATTGCTGCTGTCTCCAATAGGGTGCTGGCAGATTATGGGCCTCCTATAGCTGCTGCCAGGCCCCTAATCTGCCATAGGCCCCTATATACCGCTTCCTCATGCTGCTGCCAGGTCCAGAGTCTCTCATGCCATGTGCCACTTTCAGGTCTCCTCACACTGCTGGTGTGTAGAATTTTTTGACATAGGGTGCTGGCAGATTAGGGCCTCCCATAGCTGCTGCCAGGCCCCTAATCTGCCATAGGCCCCTATATACCGCCTCCTCATGCTGCTGCCAGGTCCAGAGTCTGTCATGGGTCCCTGTACGGCCTCCCATTGCTGCTGTCTCCATCGCCACACTCTGCCATGTGCCACTTTCAGGTCTCCTCACACACTGCTGGTGTGTAGAATTTTTTGACATAGGGTGCTGGCAGATTAAGGGCCTCCCATAGCTGCTGCCAGGCCCCTAATCTGCCATGGGCCCCTATATACCGCCTCCTCATGCTGCTGCCAGGTCCAGAGTCTGTCATGGGTCCCTGTACGGCCTCCCATTGCTGCTGTCTCCATCGCCACACTCTGCCATGTGCCACTTTCAGGTCTCCTCACACACTGCTGGTGTGTAGAATTTTTTGACATAGGGTGCTGGCAGATTACGGGCCTCCCATAGCTGCTGCCAGGCCCCTAATCTGCCATAGGCCCCTATATACCGCTTCCTCATGCTGCTGCCAGGTCCAGAGTCTCATGGGTCTCTCATGCCATGTGCCACTTTCAGGTCTCCTCACACTGCTGGTGTGTAGAATTTTTTTGACATAGGGTGCTGGCAGATTATGGGCCTCCTATAGCTGCTGCCAGGCCCCTAATCTGCCATAGGCCCCTATATACCGCCTCCTCATGCTGCTGCCAGGTCCAGAGTCTGTCATGGGTCCCTGTACGGCCTCCCATTGCTGCTGTCTCCATCGCCACACTCTGCCATGTGCCACTTTCAGGTCTCCTCACACACTGCTGGTGTGTAGAATTTTTTGACATAGGGTGCTGGCAGATTACGGGCCTCCCATAGCTGCTGCCAGGCCCCTAATCTGCCATGGGCCCCTATACCGACTCCTCATGCTGTGACGTTGCAACAAGGTGGAATTCAACCCTACATATGTTAGACCGCCTTTACGAACAGCAAAAGGCCATCACAGATTTCCTGATGTTAAAAGCGGATAAAGGTATTCCCTGTGTAACTTAGATGTCAGCCATTGGCAGCTCATGCGTGACACCTGCGCTTGCTCAGGCCCTTTGAGGAGGCCACGCTATTCGTGAGTCGGCAGGACTATGGGATGAACGACGTCATTCCTCTGTTGCACGTCCTGGAACAAATGCTGTTAACAATGGCTGGTCAGGGTGCGGTAGACGTGGCGCACAGATCTCAACGCCACATGACCCCTGTGGGGGCAGGACAGGAAGAAGAGGAGGAGGTAGAGGAGGACATTGGTGCTCAGGAATTATTGAGTGAAATGGGTGGTTTTTCCACTCAGCGGACAGGAGTGGAGGAGCAGGAGCATCTGGTAGAGGAGGAGGAGGAGGAGGAGACAGAGGACCCAGACGCACCGTGGCAGTATGCTGTGGAGATGGAGGCAGGGAGTCCCTCGCATTCCTTGGCACAAATGGCCCATAGCATGCTCGGTTGCTTGCGTAGCGACAGCCGAATAATAACCATCAGACAGAGGGATGACTTTTGGCTGTCCACCTTGTTGGACCCTCGCTACCGTTCCAAAATGGTGGCCTTTTTCACACCTGCTGAGAGGGAGGCCAAAATAACGTACTATAAAAACCACCTATGTAGTCAGCTGGTCTCTGCCTGTCTGCGCCAACGTCCATCCTCAGACACTGTGGGCCCTGTGCGCTCGCGTTCCGCTGCCATGGCAGCAGGGGAGGGGTGGGGTGGTAGGTAGGAGCAGTGGCAGCTCCACCAGCAGCGGCTGCCTCAGTCTGCAGTCGATGATGAGTAGCTTTCTTCACCAGCGCAGTGAGGAAACTACTAACCAGCAGCAGCAGCAGCAGCAGCAGCAGCAGCATCAGGTGGACCTGGAGCAGGACCTCAAACAACAGGCTTAGGCCTACTTGGACAGCACCCTGCCAACCGAGGTAGACAATCCCCTTGACTACTGGGCAACGAAACTTGACCTTTGCCCCCAACTAGCTGAATTTGCCCTTGAAAGGCTGTCATGCCCGGCCAGTAGCGTGGCATCGGAGCGCGTGTTTAGTGCGGCAGGAGGTATTGCAACTCCGCTGAGGACACGACTGTCCACCCAAAGTGTGGAGAGACTGACGTTTGTGAAAATGAATCAGGCGTGGATTAGTCTGGATTTCAACCACCAGTTCCTGACACAACTGACTAAATCCGCCATGAATCATGCCCCAAACATGTGCCACTTTCAGGTCTCCTCACACTGCTGGTGTGTTCCATTTTTTGTCATAGGGTGCTGGCAGATTACGGGCCTCCCATAGCTGCTGCCAGGCCCCTAATCTGCCATGGGCCCCTATACCGCCTCCTCATGCTGCTGCCAAGTCCAGAGTCTCTCATGGGTCCCTGTACGGCCTCCCATTGCTGCTGTCTCCATCGCCACACTCTGCCATGTGCCACTTTCAGGTCTCCTCACACTGCTGTGTGTAGAATTTTTTTGACATAGGGTGCTGGCAGATTACGGGCCTCCCATAGCTGCTGCCAGGCCCCTAATCTGCCATGGGCCCCTATATACCGCCTCCTCATGCTGCTGCCAGGTCCAGAGTGTGTCATGGGTCCCTGTACGGCCTCCCATTGCTGCTGTCTCCATCGCCACACTCTGCCATGTGCCACTTTCAGGTCTCCTCACACTGCTGGTGGGTTCCATTTTTTGTCATAGGGTGCTGGCAGATTACGGGCCTCCCATAGCTGCTGCCAGGCCCCTAATCTGCCATGGGCCCCCGTACCGACTCCTCATGCTGCTGCCAGGCCCGTAATCTGTCATGGGCCCCTGTTGTCGCTTGTTGGCATATTCCGCTCGTTCAGATGCTCCTTCTCCTGCTACTCCTCTTCACGGATTCCGTCAGCAGTCTTTCTTGGAATCCGTTTCCAAGAGACAACAGTTTGCGAGCACGCACCAGACGGTGCAGAAACTGAACGTCCTCCTGTCCAAGTTGCTGCTGCCAGGCTTGTAATCTGTCATGCGCCCCTGTACCGCCTCCTCATGCTGCTGCCAGGTCCAGAGTGTGTCATGGGCCCCCGTACCGACTCCAAATGCTGCTGCCAGGCCCGTAATCTGTCATGGGCCCCTGTACCGCCTCCCCATGCTGCTGCCAGGTCCAGATTGTGTCATGGGTCCCTGTACGGCCTCCCATTGCTGCTGCCAGGCCTGTAATCTGCCATGGGCCCCCCTACCGACTCCTCATGCTGCTGCCAGGCCCGTAATCTGCCATGGGCCCCTGTACCGCCTCCTCATGCTGCTGCCAGGTCCAGAGTGTGTCATGGGTCCCTGTACGGCCTCCCATTGCTGCTGTCTCTATCGCCACACTCTGCCATGTGCCACTTTCAGGTCTCCTCACACTGCTGGTGGTTTCCATTTTTGTCATAGGGTGCTGCATGGCCTCCCATTGCTGCTGCCTCCACCGCCACACTGTGGCTCTCCACACTCTGGTTTTGGCCCCGTGACTGGCCAAATGAGTGAAGTGTGCGGTGATTCTAAGATCGACGGCACTCATCTGCATGTCATACTGCCTGACAGTATTATTTCTCTTCCCCAGCAGACTCCAAGGGCATTTAAATTAAAGGTACAGTGTTCAGCACTAATATTAAGTCTCTCTGAAGCCTAGAAACACCCTTTTTTAAGTTAAATTCACAGCGAATATATTCGACTCGAATCGAATTTTTTCTACGAATTCGCCGAATCATTCGAATCGAATTTTTGAATACTTCGCTCATCTCTAGTCTCTGCTAGCACCACCTGGGGGACCCGAGAAGAGAAGGATTGGCGTTGCGCTGTGCAATACCACTGCACAGAGCAGGTAAATATAACATGTTTGGTATTTTAAAACAAAAAAAATTGCCTTTAATATCACTTTAAGGACAGCTGGATTAGTGTAGGGACAGGTTCCTGTGGAGGAGGGATATATAACTCTCTTGAGCAGTAGCCTTCCTTATTCAGGGGCCCCGATGCTGGTCTGCCTTCTAGCCACCTCCTCTGCCAGATATCTACAGCAGCTTTTCTCAACCAGGGTGCCCTGAGGTTTCTTCAGGGGTGTCTTGGCAAAATGTCTAAAAATTGCTCATAACTTGTATACAAGCCACTGAGTGGACAGGCCTGCCCTTTTGTTAATAAATCACCTCTAATGTTGGGTGTCCTAAAAGTGTGGATGTTGCTGCATTATAAAAACTATTAGAATAGTTTTCTCATATTTTAGAATGGGGTGCCCTTTTAAAATTATGGACAGTCTTGAGGCACCCTATTTTAGAATGGGGTGCCTCAAGACTGTCCATAATTTTAAAAGGTGCCTCGGTAATACCCATAATTTTTAAAAGGGTGCCTTGACTGAAAAAAGGTTGGGAAACACTGGTCTACAGTGTGCACAAATATTCCTTGCCTGGTTTGTTGCTTCGGTCCGGTGTGGCCTTGTCTTCAGCGTTCTTCTATTTTCTCAACATCGACATGTTAAGTTGAAAGGAGGTTTCGTGCCTCACCTGGCCATGTTGTAGACAGATAAAAGCAACCTCAGCTCAATCCATCAAAGCCACAC